ATGCATAAATTTGACTGATATAGAGCGGATTATCTTTTTTTGCTTTTGCAATATTGTTTTTAGACAAAGGAAAAATGTCAAATATATTTATAGAAACATATGTGATATAAAAATAAAGCGAATCTCTGTTGTTAAATTTTAAATAGCATTTATAGAGAATTTTTATATATATATATATTTTTTTTTTTGCATATAAACATTGAAAAAGAAATGCAACAAAAAGTAAAAGTTCTATTAACACTTTTCTTTTCATTAATTGAAATTAATTTTTTTTAAATGCATACAAGCGTGCACCCGCGGCATGTAATTAACTTAGAGCAGATACAATTTGATATTTGCATGTGGGAGGAATGCAATTATTTTGAATAATGTAAACATAGTAAAGAAACACTACCTTCCTGTTTTACGATATTAATTAAAATGTTTTATTACTCATCCTCTAATAGAAATTTCGTGATAATAAAGTTTTATTTAAATTCAAGACAAACCTGCCGCCTATGCAATAGAAATTTATCGTTCACTGCATAACGCGCTAGATGCTGCAAGCCTTTAGAATCTAACCTACTTAAAATTTAATCAGAGAATAGATTACACTCATCTAGGAGGTAACTTTCGTCTGTCGCTATTGGTACAGTAGTTCTTCTTTAACAATTATACCTTTTTAACCCATTATACTAGACCACCTTTACATAAATATTCTTCAGCAAAAGTCGGCTTTACATTAGGTTTTCTTATGCTGTCTTTTTTACACGGTCCTTTTTCACACTCTTCTTAACAAAAAACGTTCGTAAATGAAAATGTATGGTTGCTTATGTATTAACATTCTATTACAGCATAAAGCAGGTCCTACGATCTAGATCATATCTAAATGTAAGGTAATATAAAAAAAGAGAGCTGACGTAATATAAAAAAAGATGGAAAAGGAGGTTCTAAGTCAGATGGAATGTGAGGATTTTACACAAATACTTTATTAAAAGAAAAATATATTTTGAAAAAATTGCAAATGCAAGGAGGTTAAAGTACATAAATTGCAATGTTGCCAATGATGTTTAATGAAATCTATTCCGTTTTTCCCTTAAGCCTTCTTTTGCTTTATTTGCTTACTTCAAGCGAAAAACGACATGTTACGTGAGAACTTGATACGAAAAGTAACACTTGCAGTTCGCGACTGCGAAGTAAAAATGATGGAATCCATATTCATCTTTTCAGCGTATGCTCTCGATTTTGGTAGATATTTGCTCTGCTTGCTGTAAGCGGTAGGATTTAGATGGCGATAAATGAAACTTGTAGTCTTGTAGCTTTTCTTCCTTCTCCGTAATCTTTTGCTCCTCAGCTAATTTCAATTTTTGCAACTTTAATGAACATTTGATGGACATTGATTCAGAATCTGACACTATTAATCAGTTAAATGTGTCGACTATTTTAGCGATATACTCGTATACTCGTCAAACACACAAACAGGGTATATGTAATGTGAAATTAGGTTATAATGAAACGACTACACAAAATAACAAGTACACGTTCGTAAATAGGAGAATTTTATGAGGAAATCCGAAAAGGACGGATCGACGGATCATAATCTATATATTCGTCGTACACACTTAACAGATTAAGCCTATTAAACTCGCGTTCAAATTATTATATTGTAAAAATTACACACATGGCATTGCGTTACGTTAAAAATACAGGATGACTTCTTCTACCTTTGGCAGAGATGTTTTGATTCTTTCTACTCAGTTTTGCGAAAGTTGCTTTCAAGAAAGTTGCTTGCAAGCAGCAAGGAACTTGCTTGCAACCCAAGCGAAAGTGAGCAAAATTTACGTAATTGAAACTTTAATAATTTATTTGTTTTGCTTGTCTTATAAAAACTGCATTATTCTCTTTATCTATATAACTTGAAATTCATTCTAAAATAAATGCAATTAAACTTTGTATCATTGTTGAGAGGAGGAAAAATAATACTGAACGAGCTGCCATTTGACCAGCCGTAGGTGTAAGTGCTTGGGATAAGTGCTAACAAAACTGAAAATACGTAGCTTTGTTGCTTTTTTCATCTACCATACAGTTCCACACACACACACACACACACACACACAGACCTAACTATAATGTTAAGTGTTAGTTCAAAAGATAAGAAAACAAAAATTCTTCAAAAAAAAAAAAAAAATTAATATGTACTTGTAACAAATTTTAAGAACATAAAGTAAGTGCTTATTTTTCTCTATTACCTCGCAAACAAAATTAATTTAATTGATAAAGAATCTCGAAAGTAGAAAAGTTGTTAATGCATTAGAACGAATGGTGAGTGGCTGGCATCTTAGGAAAGAGTGTTGGAAAGACAAGCGATTTTTTGAATAAAGCTGTGAGTGAGCCTTAGCTGTTAGTGTTTTAAGAAGAAATTAATGAAAATAAAGACTTGTGTTTTTATGGGCGAAACCATTATCAAACTCTATGGCATGTCACCTTTGAGTCTTAATTAAACTCATGCTTGTCGAGTTTTAAGCTTTTTCGGGACTTTAAGGAATAACATACCAAGGTACAGACGGAGAGTACTAAATACGATCAAAAGAAAAGTCAACTCAAAGCATGGTTTGCACGCTTGTAAACACAAGTTAATTTACATTATAAGAGCATCCGCGCTTCGAATCATTCATCAATTAATTAATTTTGTAATTAAACGTAACAACAGCATCGTTAAGTGTAGACAAACATAATTTTGCTATTTCAGTGTGTCTACTTGTCTTCTTCTACAATTTTTTCCATGAATTTTTTTTTTTGTTTTTTTAAATGTACATCCGACGGGGACTATAATGGATACTGCAAATAACATAAATCCAGTAATTGTGTCTGAGTATAAACTCAAATTAAGCCTAAACAATGAACTTATTGTGCAATCAAATTGAAAGCAATAATGTTTCTTTAGAGAAAAAAAAAAAAAAGACAAGATAAATGTAATTAAATAAAAAATCTATAAAATAACTAGGAATTGTAAAATAATTAAAAACTATAAAATAATTAAAAAATAATTTTGAAAAGGAATAAAAAATTGAAACGAATTTAAAAAAGCCACAATTGCTTTAATGCAAAGCCAATAAAACCAAAAGGAAACGAAAAAGAGAACGAGACTTAAGGAGAGAAAACAAGTCTACGATAATTGCGGCTTATTTGTAGATTTATAGCGCACTACCGAAGGTTGAAGATGTATATCACACAAACCGCCGCAAGCCCGCACACACGGAAAGACACACGGACGGACGGACGGACGGACACTTTTGAAAAATTCCCTGAGCACAAGACCAAGGATCTGAAATCTATCTTAATTTTTTTTCTAAACTTTCCTCACAAATTACATAAATAAAATTGAATTATTACTGAAACAACTTGACAAGTTAACTTTTATCATAAAAAAAATATAAATAATTATATGTATATGTCCCTCTTAAATCATGTGCATTGTAGGGAGATTAGCAACAAAACAGAAAAAAATTTCTATATACAATAAGTGAAATAAAGAGCAATGATTTTATTATATGTAACTAGCAACATACAAAGCCTCTCATGGAATAATAAACACAATCTTTTTTACGCATACCATCGTCGTCGCATAGGCACACAATTTTAATAAACGCGAGTGTTTTTTCTTTTTTTGTTTTTGCTGCTTTTGTTTTGCAAATAAACAATTATGCAGATATATAAGTTTTATGTAATCGTTTTCTTTCGCTTTTTTATTTCTGTTAAAATGATCGCGGTTAGCACAACTTTTTTTTTCTTCTCTTTTTCGTTTCTTCTACTGATGTTGTTTTTGTATTAAAATGCATTCATCACACATGTATTATACATTAAACAGCAACCAGCAATTCATTAACATATATATAGCAAAAAAAAAAAGGAAAAAACCGAAAAAAGATCACTTTTTTAAGGTTATGATTATCAGAGGATTGTGTAAAAGCTTGAAGTTTTGTATTGAGAAAAAATAAGAATTTTTTGTTTTTTTTTTTTTTTAAATCTTCTTGTACGCGATGATAAGCGTGGGCAGTGTTAGAAATATAAATTTTTATTTATTTTGGATTTTGTTCTTAGGAAGCGTTATAAAAATTTATTTACGTTTTTATATTTTATATTTTTTCGTTCATCACACACTTTTTTGGTTTTGTTTTCTTTTCTTTCAAATAATAAAAATGCAATGTTACGTTATCACGATTAGGTTGTTTTTTTTTTTTAGTAATAAATTTGTGTTTTTTTTTTTTATATATATATATTTAAATAAAGAATTTAATAATACCGCTCATGGATATAAGAATATTTGCGTAATTTACAGCAAAAATAAGAGATTAATAATAAAAAAAAAAGTGAAAAATTTGCAGTATTTCTGTACAAAAGCCGACGTAACAAATTATTTATTTATTTATACATATATTTTTCTGTTTTTTGGAATACAAGTGTAACCGTCAACGTTTCAGCGAACAGTGGCAAAGTGTTTGAAAAATCGACAGCAAAACGTAACACTGTTTTCACATAGACAGAGCAAATACAAAAACACATACACATACATACTCGCTTAAAGTAAAAGTAATGCAAAGAAAAGCAAAAACAAACGAGTAACACAACACACAACCAGTCGAAGTCAAGTCAGGTCGTTGATAATAAAAAACTTATACAAAATCAAATGTAAAGAGAGTAAAAGCAATGAAAAGTAAATGAAAATAAACAAAATAAAGGAGGCAAAGAGTAAAATAAACAAACGGGAAAATATATGCTCTTAAAAAGAATCTTATCACACACACAATAAATAAATGAATGAATGAAATTTCCTCCTCTTCCGCAAAAGAGTAATGCGATGAGAAGCGCATGCGAGGAGATAAAGAGACAAAAGTGAGATAAGTAAGAAATTTTCTTTTCGAGCTTAAAAATATTGAACAAGTCCTAAAAAAATTTTAATTATTTATTTTCACCTATGATTGTAGACAAAATAGAGATACATATATATATATATATATAAAGCAACGCTGCATTGAACAATAAAAAATTTCAAAGTTATCGTAGAGTATTGAAATATTATCAGCAGTCATACGATATTCGGACGGTCATCATACCGTATATAAACCTCCCGAGTTCCGCAAATACGGTATATAAACCTCCCGAGTTCCACAAATAAAGTTCCCAAAGCACTTTAATTATTACGGTTAAGACAATCTCTCTTTTAGAGTTGCGTTTTCCATTCGATGTTGATGTCATCCATTTCAAAAGCACCAGGACGACACACAACCTAAGCGTAAGTTTTTACTTAATGGACAAAAACTCGGGCAATTTTTTTTCTTTGTAAACGTAAACCGTATTTTACTACCCAATTGGAATAACAAAGACAAGTATTTATATCTAACCTCTGGATCCTAAGCTTACTATTACCTGCCACATTAATTACAATATTTGCAGAGTAAAAGAGATATAAGCCCACTACACTACATAACACGGCGTTTATGCTACAATGAAGCTGTCAGATGTTTCTCTTTGCCGTACAAACAGCTGTTAAAAACAGTTGTCGCTTAATTTTCGATAATGACGAAAATGCTAATCATGTCGAAAAGGAATGGGGAAAGGTAAAAAAGGTAAAAAAAGACATTAGTTTAAAAGTTAGAGTCCTCGAAAATCTTATTAACCCCTTCGGTGTATCAATATTAAGAAATTTCGATGGATTGAACGGAAGAAGCCAGAAAGTTTAGATTTACAATGCTTTCAATTTTTATTTCAAAATATGCTAGTTCAGCAGTAAATAACGTAAGGTGATAAACAAAAAGTTTTCCACCTAAATGGATCGGACTTAAACAATTTGTCGCTGCGGATATTAGTGCCTTCTCCAACCCTCTGTCAATAAAATATTTCTTAAGTAACTGTTAACAGGCTGGTTAAGGCTGACACATAACAATTTAGCAGCTATAGCTATGCTGTGCCAGCCGAAAATTTGGACCCTAGTAGAATGCGTAAGTAATATCATATTGCTAAAATTTCGGCCAGAAGAGGGCGTACAAAGACTGGCATAACAACATGACAAACGGTCTGAGTTGACACTTGGCCGTCTCTCCTGACGTAATATTTAATAGTGGGTACTGGAGAATTGCCCGCAGACGTCGAGGGTGTTTTGATGATGCGTAAAGGTTCGACAACGATTTGATCTGTTAACGCTTTCCATCGATTAAAAAAAAAAAACTGTCATTCTGCCCATTTCACGCTTCCACACGCATCCAATATTTCTTTTCTAAAACATCAGTGTTACCTGTTCGCCAGTAGCCGAAAGTTAGTAACGCACCAAACGAAAACTTTTGCAAAGAATCAAACAGACTTTTTCCCGCAAAAATATTACGATATCAGCTATCAGTTATATATGAAGCCATCGCGCCTTAAAAGTGAATTTGGCTGTGAGAAAATGATCTGAAGTTAACTGATCAAAACTATATATAAGATCGTCAATGCCGCCGAGATTTCTCTGTTACAATCTGAACAGTGTACCTAATACATCATTCACATCTTTCGATAATTGTCATAGGATTACGAAAAATATTTCATTTTAGTAAAAAAATTATCCAAAAAAAAAAAAACTACTTAGCACATAATCGTATATTTAATATAAACTCTTCAATTGAAAAAACACTCAATTTATGTAATCATAGGTTTGGAGAGCTCTTAAGAAAATGAACAATTTACTCAACTCAAAATAAATTGCTTACAATTCATATAACAGCAATAGACTGCACTTATTATGTCTGTACGTATGTATAACTAACTACACGACTAAAGATTTCTGTGCTCTTTCTTTTTTTTTTTTTATAGTTTTTTTTTTTTTTTTTTTTTTTTTAAAGCATTGTTTTTCAGCCCTGGTAAGGCGATAAGAAGTAATTAACACACAAAACATTTGCTGGGAAAACGTATTTTAATAATTACTGTAAAAAAAGAGACGAAAAAATAACTTTTTTTTCCAAAATCCATGCATTTTTAGCCCACGTCTTTACCATATTTAACAGCATTTATAAAACAAAGCATTTTATTAAACAGTGACTTCTGTATTATGGTAGGACTCGCTACCGTTTGCAATAAACGACTAATGCTATGAAATATCGATATGTGTACATAAATACATACATACATATATACACATATTAACATATTACATAATCGACAACCGGCGTATGATTAATGAATTTAATGTAAAGGGAAAATAACAAATAAATCAAAAATTTGCACTTATGACAAATTTTGTCTGAATCAAGTCTGCTTAAAAAAATTCAAAAGCAGAAGAAGAATATAAAAGTTGACAGCGGAAGTTATTATATTGATTATAAGTGTATAATGGTTATTTCTTTGCAAAACTTTTATGAGTAAATTTATCCCTTTAAATTATATAATAATTATTATACCCTACACTACAACATTCAAAAGGTCTTGAGCTATCTCAACTCATTTGCTTGACGCACAGTTAATAAACTCACTTTTTTATTAGATCGATTGATCGCTTCAGAATGACTTTCTCGGCCAATCAAATCTAGCCTGTCTGCCTGTCAACCCGGTTTTCTTGTGTTCATCTTACAAAGCCGATATTTTTGAAAAAATTTGGTAGACTTGCGTGTTTTAGCCCAAGGATGAACGCTATTGAAAACGGTTCGGCACAAATCATCTTTCCGATCATTTCCCATATAGCGACTTATTTGGAAAAATCGTTACATAAATAACTGTAGAGAGGCGTAGGATATTTAATAATGAGCCCCGGCCCATTATATCGTTTTTATTTGTTATTTAATAAGAAGAAACTTTTTTAAGACAGAGGAGAGACGAACAAGAGAACACATTAAAATAATTTTCCTAAAAGTATACTATAAAGTTATAAAAGAAAGTCTTAAAGGGGATTTTAAAAGTTTATAATACCTGAGAGACTTTGCACGGGTTAGAATTATTTATGTGGCATAAAAAGTCGACTCTTCGCCTGAAGTCCAACACCAATCTTCAAATTATTGTCACTAAACTTAAAAATATAATCACGTTTTTCTCGAAGTTTTTTTTTTTGTCGAGATGACCGTACATTTAACGTACCTCAAGTCTAACGAACTAATTTTTTCCAAATGTAAAATCTACCCTCATGGTAACACACTTAAATGAACCGCGTGATATTTTTCTTCTGATTCTATTTAAGAACTTTTGGAGATTTTTATTTAAGATGTTTTTTAGGAAATCATTTTTCCGACTCAGGGGGTGCTGTCCATACGTGTGATAGTAGGAAAGAAGAAGGGAAAGAGAAACAATTATATAGAGTAGTCGCAGCCAGCATATGTCAATGTTCTATAAGGCAAGTTCTTACTAACTGAGCACTCACTCTACCTAGGACCAAACATGACCTATCGAACCCGCGCATATCGACTTGTTAGTGAGCGACTTTTATTAACTTGGTTACGTGTTAGGAACATAATTTTTTTTTGCGCAAAATCGTTCCCATTTTTGACTTAAAAAATCCGTCTCAATTAATTGATTTTTCCTTCATAAGTACATTCAAGGATATAATCACTAATTTCGGCCTGACAATTTATGCCCTACTCTTCATACGACTTCTTTCTTAGGTTAGTTGGGTGAAGTTACCTCCGGAAAGCACGAAAAAGACATTCTCCAACGACCTGCGGAGTTGTATTCAGTTAGTTCTTATTCAAGCGGCTGCCACAAGAGAGATCGGATCATCGAACGCCTGTATTTTTGAGATGAAAGATTTTGTCTAAAAAACCTGCTATATGAAAAGTGTTTACAGTTCCTTCTCCTCTCGTAAAAATAAATAAAATTTAAGCCCCTTAGCAACACGTGCCATTTGGCAGACAGATCATAATGATTTTTTTTTTTTTTTTTAAATCGAATTAAATATGAAAAATTCATATTGCTTAACAACAATACAAAAAAAAAGAAAAAAGACGTACCCAAGTCGCATTCTTAACATGGATACAACATATACGAAGACCACCGCCAAAAAATTAAAAAATTCAAAGATCATTAAAAATGCAAAGGAAAGAACAAAAAGAAAAAAAATAGACGCAAACAAAAACCAAATTCTCCACATCATTTAAACATGTGTGCAACAGAATGTCGTTGAACTGTACAATCAGAAGAAGTTTTCTTTCAGGAGCGTTCGCTTGCAGACAACTACACAGTATATATGACGCTCTACGCTGCAATACAGTAGCGAATGTGCAATGAAAATAAGAGAACATTAAAATTGAAACGCCTTCCGTTCGCTTATACCTTATATATATACGCAGTGCACACACGCATAACCCACATAATGATGAACGTTTTAAAAACAAAACCAAAAACAAAAGAAAAATTAAAGGTTATGTTGCTAAAAAAAGATCAGGAGTTACTAACTGCATACAGCCCTAGCGACACACACAACAATTGTCATAACAGTGCTGCAATCGCAAAAATATATGATTTTCTGTGTCCCGCGATTGTGTTTTTGTCTTCGATTCAAAAGAGCAAAACAACAATGCAGCAAAAAATAAATGAAAACAAAAAAAAAGAAAATCCCAAATATTCGACTCGAGATGAATTTTGAATACGCGTCGCGTTAAGCGATTAGAGGAAGCCGCCTCTTTGAACTACTGCTATGCACATGGCATAGAAATATTTGCTCAGAATTTCAAACCGACAGCAGTTACAGATATGAAAGCCTTTCTTGCCTCTTCCTCTACGTATCACTTTTCCTGTGGTCAGCACTATGCCTATACCAAAATGCGTTAGTAAAATAAAAAAAAGCTCTGAAATGGGTGCGTGTTGGTTGCTGTTGCTATGTAATTTTCGTTTTTGAAACCAAGTTTCAGTTTTCTCGGTTCTTCTGAGAGAGACATAGAGCGACTCACCTGTCTATCTTTCAATGATAGACATTCACGTGGGATCTCGACTGTTCAATACTACCCCTCGACTTCTAGGGCCGAGTTGTGAGGAAAGGCCAGCATTTTTATGTTTGTAATCCAAATATAACGGAAAAATTAATACACCTCTGCGCTTTAGTAGGCAAACTCGCGTATGTACTAATTAATGTAGTCGTGTGCAATGAGAAGGGCTTCTTTATGTATTAAACCAGATTTTTGTAATTTATATATGTTCAGTAATGAAGAAAGGGACATGCACCAAAGATGCGAGTGTGTTAATTTCTCTATCTTATTTGTAACGTTAGCAAATATCCATGAGATTTTGAATTCACATTCAGCAGAGATTTGGCCGGAATAGTGCATTTGCTCCTAGGAAACTTTGAGCAAAAAGTTTCACTTTTTGACATATATCTCGTCGTAAAAGAATGGCAATGGAAATAATATCGGTCGAAAAACGGGAGGAACATATATTAGCTCCAGGCATTCAAGATCTGTTCGTCAGGAAAAGATGCGTAAAATATGCTTCATTGCTGCTATTCAAGATTCACCTTGAAGCATACACTTATTGTATTCAAGACGAAAAGAGGGACATACAAGTAAGTAAAATCCTTAAGTACTGATTGCAGATATTCCATAGATGAGGATGGTTTACCTACCTCATGTTTAAACCACACAATGCAACGGACGCAACGGTTTATTTAAGCCTGAAACATTGCCTCCCAATAAGTGAGACAAACCTTATAGCCTAGCAGCCCCACCAAACCTGGAATACCAAATCGATTCAAACTGTGTGGCTACACAATGTATAGTATATCCGCCCGCCTTACCTAATAACGTGACAAGCTGTTTTCGTGTACACGAGCCGTTCCTAAGCGATCGACTTATTTCCTATGTTATACTTACACTAACTTTTTTTAATAATCAGTCTTAAGTAGTCTCTCTGACAACAATTTTTCGTGCCGTTGAGTACTACATTTTTTTTTCATTGGAGAAAGACAGAGGGAGCGAAGTGTATAGAAATTTATCAATTCATATTTTCTGTCTCATGTTTTTGGCATGTTATACGAGCCTTTTTTTGCATATTATGCGAACAAGGTCAAAATTTGTCCCCCTTATTACACGAGTCCAGGTTATGCGATTACGTGTTATAGGCGGATGCGTTGCATATCTTTTTAACTAAAGTACAATTATGCATCGGTTTTCTCGTGAGAGCAAGCATTAAGAAATTGATGTGACTTTCGAGCTCGACGCCTCAAATTTTCACAAGTCATTTAGTTAGTCCGCTAACACGCCCATTATAGATAGAAAAATCTTATAGTCACTAGCTTATTGAGCGCATTTAAAATTTAGCGGCAATATTTACAATGGTCCGAAAAATGTTTCCGATCACAGCGTCATAACTTTTTCGCTGGTGAGTGATGTACTAATCACTTAAAAGAGAAAAGAAAAATAAAAATATCTTTTATGATTATTATGAAGACATTGCATGTCAATAGCTCGCTTTAAACCGTAAATACTTATGTACACACTGTACTGTGTTCTTCCCTGTGCTTGTTTCTTTTTTTTTCTTCTCTGACGATTCTCATAATTAAAAAATCGCAAAGACTTGTTTATGATGTTCCTGACATATATTTTTGGCAAGTGATTTGTTGTTATTGTTTAAAAAAAA